TGAGGTTTTCTGGTCCTACTGCTTTCTCTTTCACCAGCTTTTTGGCTACTTCCTGGACTACCAACAGCCAGGACCAGGGAATTTAATCATCCATGTTATCCTGACTGTTCTATGGCATCATAATTAGGAGACAACAAAGGTGTGATGCATTTACAGTCTGGTGGAGATTTCAGAAGTGAGGGATAAAAGACCCAAATATACAGAAGCTTACAGAGCTGGGGGTGTCAGGCAATCCCAGGTCATTAGTGATGCCCACTGTAGAGGAGACTGCAGGGCACAGGTCTCTAACTGGATTGTCCACTTTTAGCCCTTGTTAGCACACCTCCAAGGCTAATAACTACATACAAGGAAACAATCACATCAAAGTCCGCTGTTTTCGAGCATAGGCTATACCTTTTACGGTATATACGACATCAAGGTCAGCAGCACTAAGTGCCATGCATCTCATCAGAGCTGACCCCCTGGGTCACCTGCTTTCCTCTCCATTTCCTCTGCAAAGCAAGGGCTGGGGGAGGGGACGAGACTGGTACCGTAATGCTTAGCAATGGAGCTATTATAGAAGCTGCCACACCACGTGAGGTTAAAACTGTCAGGACACCACATGGTGTGGCAGCTTCTATAATGCCATTGGGCTTTTCAATGATTGAAGAGGATATTCATAAGTCACCACCACGGAACTGAACTTTTTATGATGAATATTCTGCCCGGTCCCATTCTTTCTAGTGGAAGTTTCTACTTTTTGTGCCCCGGAAGAGCCATAAGCCCTAGCAGGTTGGGCAATGCTGACCACGAAGTCCCTGGAAGGTTCTGCAAGCTAGCCTGTTGGCACAATGTGCTTAGGGGAAGCCTTCAGGCATCCCTCTTCCCTAGCACTTGGCTGACCTTAGTCACTTGACTGGCAAGCTGACTGATCAAAAAAGGGCCTCCTGAAAATCCACGAGGGAATTGGGGAAGCAGGTATGGCAGACTATGGTGAGATGGACTCCAGGTAACATGGAGCCCAGAGAAAAAAACTTCTGCAGAAGCACTGAGGACAGGTTAGGAGCCTGTTAAATTATCTGGAAACTAAGTGGGGCTATAATTGAGAGTCAGGTGCCTGTTCATATTTCCCCCCAATTAATGTATTATTAGGAGATATGATGAATCGACTGAATGGAACACAACTATGTTGAGAATCACACACTTGTATGTACACACAGCTTGCAGATTTTAAAGAAACTTGAACTCCGTGGATGCTACAAGGTCACCCAGTTGTGACAACATAACAGACATTAATTGAAACTTGTTTCATACCAGCGACTAGGGAAGTCCACGCTCTCTCTTCTCAGCTGGCCACTGCCCCGGGAAGTGAGATCTCTCTCTCCTCCCACATGTACAAGGGTCCCTCTCAGCAGCAGGCTCCAGGCATCTCCCACCCAGTCCTGCTGGGCTCCTTGGTCTGCAGGATCAGGGGTAAAAGAATGTACCCAAGACTCCCTGCCTATGCCCTGAGCAGCAGGGAAAGAGGCAGGGCCTGGGCTCTTCTCTTTCGCCTCCAAGACACCTGGTCTCTCCCACGGCAGATGTCACCTGGTACAAGCAGACATAGGATCACAGAGAGCATCCTCCTGAGTGGCAAGGTTACCTGAGGATGGGGAGGGCAGCTTTTGGACATCAGGGAAGCACAGTGTTAGGGTTGAAATCTCAGGCTCTATGGTCAGTCGGTCTTCGTTCTAATCCTGATTCCACCTTTTATAGCTTTGTTTTAGGCCCCATTTTTAACCTCTCTGAACCTCAGTTTTCTTAACTGTTATGTGTAATTAACACAGAGAGTTATTATGTAACTATTAAATGAGATAATATACACAGTCAGATCCTTAGCATCATGTGTGGCACATGGAAGAGCTTAATACATTTTAGTTTCAAAATTGTTTCTTCAGTCTTCTAGGCAATTGGAGATGCCGGCAAGCCACTCTGGGCCTTCTGCAGTAAGAACGACACACACTTCCCTGTTCCACAGACATGGGGAGGGTGGGTGTGGGTGGAGGTGAGCCTGTGGGTCTGGAAGCAGGAAGCTGAGGGAGTTGTCTAATGGCTACTGTTTTCTGTGAGGAACAGCAGGCCTGGTGAGGCATGCACGACTGGGCGAGGTGGCGGGAAACAATCGCTCTTATGGGCAATGGAGGAGCCGCCGAGCTCGCTCACAGCTCAACCCTTACTCTTCCCCAAGTCCTCTCAAGGCAACCCCTCCCAAACAATGGCTTCCTCACTTTCTGGTACCAAAGCTTCAATCACCAGGCAAAGGAGCCCTGGGTCCCTGGATGCTTAGCACTAGGAAGGTCCTCAGAGATCTTAACTACCATTCATTCTTCCTACTACCTAATTAAGTAATTTACTCAAACAGAAAGCAACTAAGTGCTAAAACTGCGGCCATCAATCTGTCTCTTCAGGAAGCCCTCATCTATTGGATGGAAACTGTTAATATCTTTCCTTTTAATTGCCTCCCCTTTTTAATAAAGTGGGGTTTTCCTTCATTTCACTTGCTTCTCTATCATTTTATGCCTGAATATCTTAAATATATTCAGCTTTACTAAAGTGAGGCCTAGACAACTTTTCTCTGTTTAATACTCAAGCATAATTACATATTCATTTGTAAGCAGGAAAAATTAGATGAATTCTTTAGGAGGTGACTGTAGACTTGAGATGCAAGTCCAGCACTCCTGGCATGGAATCAAGCATGTTCTACGCTATGATGGCTTAACAATATCCCCAGTCATTTGCTTCTACATTCACAGATATGTTAGCCTCTAAGGACCTCTGAACCTGACTTGATATTTTTTTCAGATTCAACCCCAAACAAAGTAAACTAGTTTCGCACTGCAGTTCAGAATAATGACTTAAAAGTGTCTCCCGTTACAGCAATTCAGGCATGAAGCATCTGAAGATAATTTTCTTGTAATGTAGACATTGTGAGGAGCTTATGGTGATCTCACACTGAATGGGATACATAAGTCCACAGGAGGAAAAAAAAAAAGCTAAGGAGAGGGGAAAGGAGTAATAAGGATAGAGAAGATGTTATTTATACAGCATAGCTCCTTTCATAGGTATCTCAGTGGTTCTAGATCCCAGCCAATAACCAGCCTTGCAAGAGCTGCCTGGGACACATACGAGCACACACAAACACACACACACACACACAGAGGCACTCATCCTTTACCTCCTGGCAGAAGCTACAATAATTCCATCTATTAATAAAGTATTTGATCAATCTTCCTCAAGAGTTATTCCACAACCTACCCTAACTGCCATCAATTTAAAACTCTAGCACCTCATTATTTTACAAGAAACATTTCGGGCTTTCTGTAAGAAGCAGGAAGGCCAGATAATTTGCTGCAGAGCTACAGAATGGAAACGACTACAGGTGGAGGTGAGGTGAGGAACAGGGAGGTGGGCCGCCAGTAAGGGACCTCTTCACACTCATGTTCAGGGTTACAACCAGAGAGGTGGGTAGGAGGAAAAAACGTGGATGCTGCTACAGAAATGTATAATATACTTCGGGATGCTGTTTTTCTACTTTGTCCCCTCTCTCTTTTCACCCAAAAGAAAGAAAAAAACATGCCTTGGAGAAAATACCAACTAAAGCGCTACTTGTCATTGATACAAAAGTTCACCATTGGATTCTCTCAGCCCATTTCTTCTTTGCCTTCCTTCAAGTACTTCTGACTTAATAGAAACTGCTGTTAAGACAGAAAAGAGAAGTATCCATCAGCACACAGTTCCTTCAGGACTGAGGTCACAGCAAGAAAACGTTAATCCCCCAAGCTCCACGACCAAGCTCAAAAACAATGCTCCTGGCTGTCATTCTCATTCACACCAGCCCCATATTTCTGTTAAACAAGCCTCTTTTAAATTGACTGTTTCCCTCACAGGGCACAATAAGGTAACCATCAGCCCACAGAGATGACATCGTGAAGCACAGAACTTTTACTTTGGTAGGAGAATCAGTAAAAGACAGGAGAGGACAACTTCCAAGGGCTCTCCCTAACTGATATCTACCAAATGGAGAAAAAATCAGCGGGCTCCTTTCTGCTTCTCAGGCTCCCAGAGCTGCTGCGAATGACTTAGAAATTTACCAGTTGGCCAAGAGGCTACTTGAAAAGAAAAGGAATTTCACAATCTTGAACATTCGCCTTCCTTCCTCCGATTTTCCCCAACTATCCCCGCTCCCACCTCCACGTACAAGAGGACTTTTTGTACACATAAAGTTTCAGGAAACAAAGCATACAAACACTCACACACAAATAAACTCCCCGAACTCACACCGGCGTATAATTGTGTTTGGGTTGGAGCCTTTCCAGCCTTGTCACCCGTTCTCTGTTAAGAGTAAATGAAACCCTTTGCTTTGGTAAAGTTAGAAACAGACAAACTCGCCTCAGTTTCAAGCCGCACAAGGCTCCAGTCATATCTCTCAGCCCCTTCAGCCCCCAACAAAATGAATTTGCTGCTGAAAAGCCA